ATATTGTGCTCATGACGCCATCAATGAGCCTGTGCAACATGAGCCATTAGAAAGGGATGGACGTTACAATGAAAGGATCATTCAACGATATACTGCATTTCAAAGGCCAGACATGCACAATGCCTGGCAAAATGACTTGATAGAGCACGAGTGGGCATTGAAACAAGCTGAAGATAATTAAGTTCATTTAGTGTGTTTTTTATTATTTGGTATGTTTATGTAATTTTTTTTGGTGTGTTTTATTTTAGTTCATTTAGTGAGGTTTTTATTATTTGGTGTGTTTATGAGGTTTTTATTATTTGGTGTGTTTATGTAATTTTATTTGATGTGTTTTATTTTAGTTCATTTAGTGAGGTTTTTATTATTTGGTGTGTTTATGTAATTTTATTTGATGTGTTTTATTTTAGTTCATTTAGTGAGGTTTTTATTATTTGGTGTGTTTATGTAATTTTATTTGGTGTGTTTATGTCATTTGAATAAAGATTCTCTTATAGTATAAATATATTACCATATTAAATAAATTTATTCTCACTTTAAATAAAGTACTAAATTCAATAAATTACAAAAAGTACTCTAATCATCATCACTTAACCAATTTGTGGTGCTAGGATGATCTTCTCTTGTCGTGCTAGGACCATCTCCTCTTGCTCTTGCTTCTCTTGGACGCCTCCTATGCACCACATCCTCTTTCTCTGACTTCCAAAAATATTTAGAATTTGGAGACTTCCCTTCTAAGGGCGTGTTCATAATCTCACGATCTCATTGAGCCATTCTTTATTCTCTAACCAATTCCCTTTCTTGCCTAATTAGCTCTCTCTCTGATTAGCTTGAAATTCTCTCTCAACAGTTGCAGCTTTTGCCTCATCTCTAGCCTTATCAGCCTCAAATTTCGCCATTTCCTGCACCAAAGTCAATTCATTATGGCGAGTAAGTTCTTCCATGTACTTTGCGTAATCATGCTTGGAAGCACTTCCTTTTCTCTTTGAAGCCTTCTTACCTTGAGGCCTAATTGGATAACGGGTCGAACCCGACGCTTGTTCAGGGATGGGCGTTTCGGGCACTTCTTCTGCATCATCTTCTTGCGAGCCATTATCAGGTGTAGAGTATAGCGTGGTGCTGTTCATGACAACTTCTGGACCGACAGGCACAACTCTGAATTTAGGACAATCTTTGACAATATTCCAACATTCCCACCGGTTGAATGATTTATTTTTGGTTTTGTCACCATACCTAGCTTGTGCTTGAATTAGCTACACAATGGAGGAGAAGAAATAATAATAATCAAAGTAGGTAACAAATAAATAATACAAACAAATAATTATAATTAAAGTATGTAACAAATAAATAATACACACAAATAATTATAATTAAAGTAGGTAACAAATAAATAATTCAAACAAATAATTATAATTAAAGTAGGTAACAAATAAATAATACAAACAAATAATTATAATTAAAGTAGGTAACAAATAAATAATACAAACAAATAATTACAATGTAAATTTGGGTATAGTACAAACAAATAAATAATATATTGTTACCTGATCCGTGTAATTTTCCCCACTTCGAAGATTACTACTAGCTTGTGCCAATGTGTCTCTCCAAATAGTAAACGATTGGCTAAGTAATTTCCAACGACTAGACATCGATTCTTTGGTTCTACTCCCACCCATTTTCTCAAGATAATTGGTATGAATAAGACTCCACATTTCTCGCAACTGTATCTCATTACTCGTACGCGAACTATGAGTAACTTCAACCCAGCTTGTACACAATGCAACATCTTCAAAAAGCGACCAATTCGTACCTGCAGCAGTAGTCATTTTGTTGAAAAAAAATTGGGTTGAAACTTTTAAGGAAAATTGGAATTTGATTGAAAGTAGTTGAGAAAATATGAAATAGTGGTGTAAGGTAGATGATAATGAGAAGGTATTTATAGAAAAGTAGAAACATTTTTTTTTTAAATTTTCAGATTTTTTTTTTAATTTTTTTATTCAAATAATTAATCTCTGCCGTTGGATTTAAAAAAATTTGAATTCCAACACTCCAGATTGTGCCACGTGTCACAATGGTAACTATTCTTAATTTAAAACTATTTTTCTTTTTTTTTTTAATTTATAAAGCAGATTAACATCAACCGTTGATCTCAGATCGAACGATTGATATTAAATCAGCTTTTTTTTTATTACCGTTGGAAATTGGACGGCTCGTATTAAAGAGTCGTTGGGATCGAACGAACCGTGGGAAGCCACGTGGCTTCCCAATGGTCACCTGCATTTCCTGGCGTGTGGGCCCTGTGCCCTGTAAACTTGTCGGCTGATACGCCCCCACTCGCGAGTGAGGGGCACGCGCCTGACATAAAAAAAATTAAAAAAGCACCGACGCCAGGCCTAGCGTCAGGTTGACGCCACACACAACTCGGGCTGCAGGCCCGTCAATTCTCCACGAGCCTGGCCCTCAGGCTCCCACCTTCACTCGGGCTGCCCAAGGCTGGAGGCCTATCCACCGACCTTCGGGCCCTTTCCCTTCGCATGTCCCCCCAGCAACCACCAAGGGTGGAGTTACTCTTTAGACCTTTGTTTCCTATGACAAGCTAGGCAACAATCAGGTCGTTTGTGGAAGAAGTGGCATCCACTACAGGCAGGACCCCAGTCCTTCCGTAGACAAGCTTCTCTTCTAGTACGTCAGTTGTACCGTGTAGCACGAACATGCATTTGGTTTAGAGCAATTCCAGCGTTGGGTTTAGCCCGGTGGACTGCCCCCATTTGCAACCCAATCCCTTCCAAAACTTGCTTCAGCCCATTCGGGAATTGGGCTAAGAGGGAGTCCATGGGAGAGGGCAGGCGGGAGTCCAAGGCCCAAGTGCCTAAGGGCTTTGTGATGCAAGGCTGACGTCAGCCATGTTATAAAAAAATTTGCGTTAGGCGCATGCATAACAAGCGCATGTGGGGGTGCGTCTCCGACACATTTTCACATGATGGGACCCGCATGTCAACTTCACTCAATTATCTTTGAATCTAGACTGTTGATTTCCAGATCAACGGTCCAAGTTTTTAGGCTTTAAAAAAATTTAAATGGAAAAAAACCAGAAATGTTATGGTGGGCCACGTGTCACATTCTGGATTGTTGGATTTCAATTTTTTTTGTAATCCAACGGTCCAGATTAATTAAGTTAATAAAAAAAATTTAAATATTAAAGATCCGAAAAATTTCAAAAATAAAATAAAAATAATAATTTTTTTTTCTATAAATACCTTATCATTTTCTCCCACTTTACATCACATTTCAATATTTTTAACGATTCTAAACAATTAAGAACATGTCGCGTGACAGAATTGGTTAAAAATCTTATCGTAATCTATCTACAAAAATTTTACTTTCGGATAATGACACACGGCGTGACGAGATTGGTTAAAATCCTATTCGAAATTTAAAATTATTTTTTATTATTTTATAAAATAAAAAATATTAATATTTTATTGCCTACTACCGTGGCTATTCAGTTTAGAGGTAGAGATGCAAAGGCAATTACTGCTTATTAAATGTAGTTACTATTGAGTGGAGGAGATTCAATTGCCAATTGTCATGGGAGGCCTTCCTACACTGAAGTGCTCTTACAGAAAGTTCAAAGCAAAAGCTCCAACTACTTGCACCTTCCTGCTTTGTGGTGTTGTTTTTCCTCCCAACCAAAAAGGACACAATGACTACATTTGGAACTTAGAGGATCTGAATGCATACAACATTCACAACACCAACACAAAATCCTGTTCCCATTATCTAAAAAACGAACAAAACATTGCATGACAAGTGACCACCAACTGCAACTAACTTCAACAAATAGTATTCAACAAATAGTAACTATCACTTCATCCCAAAGGCTAGAAATAACATCCAACTTCCTCTATTGAAACTTACCCCTTTATCCTTTTGGCTCAACTCTACTGCCGATATCCTACATTTGTAAAAATTGAAAATTTGTTACGCAAGATATTGTGTCAACAACAGGTGGAAATAACCCGAAAGATCTAGTAATAAGTAGAAGACAGTGCAAGGAAACCAGCCCTTTCTTTCCACAATGCTTCAAATGGCATCCACATGTAAATAAAATATAAATAAAACACCAAACGAACAATTGAGAGGAGAAAAACAGTGTGATCACTGTTTGTGGTGGTAATTGGAGCTGTAAGTCAAATTTAGCGTACCTATAATTATAGTGTACAAATCCAGTTTTACCTGAAAACAGGAACCTATCACAAACTGCATCAGCAGTGACTTTGTGAATAGGTAGGCAAGGTTGTCTTGGAATCAGATATGCTTGACTTCAATCTTTTGATGCTTTGCTGATGTGAGTAGAGTGCAGTAACGTTGAAGGCAGCATCCACTGCAAGGCAAGCTTTGGATCCTTTTCCATAAGTTGGATTTTAGGCTATAAACATTGTCTCGTAGTTGCAAATGCAAACAACACCATTCGTGAGCAGCCCAGTCTTGTAGTGGAGTCGTCAAGGCATTTCAAGGGCTGCTCAATTTTCACGGCTGTCCCGAACGTTTCACTGTCGTCAAAAGGCGATGAAAAGAAATCTGACGGAGGAGCGTTGCGTGACTTGAGTAAAATGGTGCAACCGGAATTGGTTTGGATGGAGCGTTGAAGATGAGCTTTGATGAAGCGACCCAAACTAAAGAAATGCAGAGGAACCGAAGCAAGTCCTTGGACGGAAGCGGTGAAAGCGTGAAAGGATGTCGAACAGTATCTCCGGTGGGAGGTCTGACATTTTTCTTCTGAAGAAATCAGCTACGGATATGGAGCCTGGGTTTCAGGGAATAAGCTCTCTCTGTTTTAGTTTGGGCCAACAACCAAGCAAAGCAACTCGGCTGGTCAACATTGGCGATTTCAATGAGGACCGGCGTTACTTCCTGTTTCAACATACTCTCTTTTTCATGTTTACTTGTCTTCTTGGTAAATTTTGCATGTTTTTGTAGAAAGCTACAACATTGATATATAATGCAACTATTGAAGATAGTGTGTATAAAATGGATCTCGATAAAAATCTTGTCAGAGATTTACATCCGGACTAAGGGGAAAAGAACGTCCGCACTAGAATAAAATGACTTAAGTGCTATCCTCAAAGAGAGAATCAAGGATTCCTTAAACCGAGTTACAGAATTTTCCAGCGTTAAACTCAGTCGAGTCAACCTATGGGCTACCTTGTTTGTTGACATTCCCAAATTGCGAAGATTCCTGCTCGCTTTCTATTTGCAAAGCTGCAATCACCACAAGTGCGTCCCCTTCTACCTCAGGTGAGGCAAGTTCCCTCAAGATCGGCGTTGATTTTCGTTAAATTTGAATCGGATTTGAGGTAAAATTCGAAGTTTTCCGTTGACTCTGCCACCAGTAGCGTAGCATCTTGTTCCGGTTCGGGCACAAAATATGCGAGTCCCTTGTTTGTCCCATGGCATAACCCTCAGTTTCGGCCATACTCGTACTTCAATTTCATGCTTATTCGTTGTGCGCAACTTGGAAGTCTGGTCAACTTGGAATTCATGAAAATGAAATCAGGTCAGAGAGAAAACAATGCAAACAAAATCCACAACTTTCAAACAGTGCTGATATGGATGAACAATTTCAGCACTTTTTGGCTTATGGATCCCAAAAAAGCAATCTGTAATAATTCACATTTAGTTATTCGTAATCCTGCTCAAATTTTTTAACTGATTGCAGCATAAATCAACCAGTAATTGAAACAAAAGCGATCGGAACAGCAAAGGACATACAATTTGTGAAATTTGGTTTCATTTTGGCCGTTCTAAACAGCCTCATACTCTTTTGCATACCTAGCATTTCTTCACTATGCATGTTCATTGCAGGCTATAACTTCCGCACGTACTTTTGCCACGAACATTCATTCACATGAAAGTCAGAAAAAAAAAAAACAATATGTATCCAAATCAGTTGGCGCCAAGAGTCCAAGACATACTCCAGGAAGTCGACATTGCCTTGGAAACAAAGAGTAAAGCAAAAGAGCAGCAGCGTTATCATCCAACCCAAGTACCTGCAGAAACACAAACTGCTATGAGATACCAAACCCAACAAGCTTGCAAGAAGCTAAATGGAAACAAGGATTAGATATCAAACAAGAATGCTCGTACGCTCAGTTTGAATCAAGGATTATAGTTCTTTTTTCGTCCTTTTAATCTGTTGAATCAAGAAGTAGAGGTTGAACAAAGATATTTGTAATCATAATCAAACGAGAAAAGCATTCAAGTATATAGCTATATCTAATTAACAAAAAATTTAGCCTTTGAGCAATCATTTTACAGCTTTTGAGGTTGCTTTATTTCTATCCATTTTTGCCATGTAGCTCCTTCTTTTATATATACAAACTCCAATGATCACAGTAGACGAATACTCAAACAAAGAAAGATAAGGATGCATCTCCCAAACGAAAATCTGAACCGAGATCAAAACAGGATCAGGATGCAATGGTAAGATTATTTCTTGCAATTAAGCCCCAGAAATCATTGGCTTCGTGTATATATTGCAAAACGATTTATCAATCAAGAAGACAAACAGAACAACCCATGAACATGAGCCATTAGATGCAGGAAATTGAAGCATGACATTAGCTACTCATAAGGTTCCAACTTACAGTAGAGAAACAAGATATTTTTTAGGGCATGATTCATTTTTAGTTAAACCCACCTTCTTCGCTCACGACGGAGTCACCATCAAGAAGAGAAAGGGTCCCTAAGCAAATGGTTGCTTTAAAGAGACGTGGCAGACCACCACTGTAGACTTGGTTACTATTTTTCTGCTCTAAATCAAACCAAACAAGCGCACCCTCACCTTTCTTCAAGAGAACCATTTCACCGTTCTTTGAGAACCCCAAAGGTTCACAATGATCAAACCACCAAGGCACAGTTTCCGGGCCAGTTTCCACACCAATGGAATAGAGCAAGGTCCAAGAGTCAGACGTTCCGTACTCGTGCATAATCCAAACTTCATGTCTACTGCTCCTATTATTAACAAAAACACAGAGAGAGCCCCTTAAAACCACCAAATTCATAAGAGAATTGTCATCCTCGTCCACTGGGGGTGTGAAACTCCCGATAATTCTCATTGGCAAGATCAAGGGTTAGAATTATGCATCGACTGTTATCTTTCCGCATCAGCCAACACAGAGCACCGTTGGTAAAAACAATCTCACGCCTATGAACAGAAAACCCACGGCAAGGCAAGCTCTGGATCTTTTTCCATGAGTTAGATTTTAGACTATAAACGCCGACTTGGGAATCCACAGACTCTCTCTTTCTGTTCTCAAACTGCGTAATTCGCAAAACTTTAAAGTCATCATTAGCTGAATCATACCCGAACCCGAAGAGAGTGTACCTGTTGGAATATGATGGTGGCTGATGCTCCAACGTTGGAAGGGGAATCTTCTTCAACTTTTGAATTGACGTGTTCCACAGACAAACATCTGTACATTCACAGTCGTGAATACAAACCACACCATTAACCGAGCAGCCCAACATCTCAAGGTAGTCGCCAGGGCCTTTCAAGGGCCGCTCAATTGGCACAAGTGTCCCGAACGCTTCGTCGCCGTTGAATGACAGCGAATAGAAATCTGACCAAAGAGCGGAATTTGATCGGAGTAAAAGGGTGCGAGCAGAATTGGTTTGGATGGAGCGTTGGAGATGAGCTTTGATGAAGTGATGGTCGTGGATGATGGCATACCAAGATTTGGAAACGCAGAGGATTCAAATCAAATCCTTGGGCGGAAGGCGAGAAAGGATGTCGAACAGTATCTCCGGTGGGAAGTCTGACTCTGACATGGTTTTCTTCTTCTGGGTTTTGGGTTTTGGGTTTTGAGCTCATCTGTGGAATTCGGCTTCAGGGTTCTTCTTCCCTGTTTGGCGAAGAAGGCGAAACTTGAAAAGTTCGAAGGAGGACCAACAATCCGAAGAAATCAGCTATGGAATCTGGGTTTAGGGTTAGATCCCTCTTTTGGGAGAACAACAGAGCAAGAGGAGGGTCAAACATTACTCACTTTCAACTTCAATGGGTAGCAGATACTAGTTTAAATTCACATTTGACTAGAATTAATTTTAGGATTTCTATTTTACAAATGAAGGAAAATATTATTAACTAAATGATGATTATACTTTAGAAAAAATAATAGACACACTCCTTTTTAATTTTCTTATATTCCAATTTCTTTTTGTTTGTTTTACATATAATTTATTTAATTTGATAGTCAAAATTAATAAGAGAGCATGAATATCTGTTTGCTAAACTAAAAATAAATGATGAAGGGTTATTGCATATCCCCTCGGGTATGGCAACAATTGCGAAATAAGAGGTTGTCACTAAAAATTGCAATGTTAACGGTAGAGCATCTCTAATCGACTAGCTATATATGAACTCTTAAGCTAAAATTTAGAGAAAAGTGACAATCAAGGTTCTAAAAGGAACTAGTCGGGTGATGGGCAGAGATCTAATGCTTAAGCGTCTAGGCCTTAGGTTTCTAGATCGAGCCTAGACAGTTTTTTTTTAATTTTAATTAAATTTATTATATAAGATATAAATAAATGTCTACTTATATTTAAAAAAATGGTAAAAGACTGTTTACTACCCTAATGTTTCGTGGTTTTCAACATTTAGTACATTAAGTTTTTTTCGTCTCAGAGTCATACCTAAAGTGTAAATTTTGGGACAGTCTCATACATCCGTTAGTCAAACTGTTAAGTTTTTCGTTAACTGTGACGTGGCGTACTGACTGGGCGCCACGTGTCATCAACGTTTTTTTTTTTTCTTTTTTCTTTTTTCTTTCTTTTCTTTTCTTCTTCCTTCTTCTTCTTCTTCTTCCTCCGACTGCAACTTTTTTCTTTTTTCTTTTTTTTTTTCTTCTTCCTTCTCCTTCTTCCTTCCTTCCTCCTTCCTTTCCCTTTCTTCCCCTTCTTCCTTCTTCTTCCTTCTCATTCTCCTTCTTCTTCCTCCGAAATCTGGGTAAGTTTGTTTTTTTTTTTTGTTCTTTCTTCTTCTTCCTCCTTCTTCCTTCCCCTCCTTCATTCTTCTTCCTTCTCCTTCTTCTTCTTCTTCTTCTTCTTCTTCCTCCAAAATCTGGGGAAGTTTGTTTTTTTTTTTTTTTCTTTCTTTCTTCTTCTTCCTTCTTCCTTCTTCTTCTTCTTCTTCCTCCGACTGCAATTTTTTCTTCCTCCTTCTCCTCTTCCTTCCCCTTCTTCATCCTCCTTCTTCTTCTTCTTCCTCAAAAAAAAAAAAAAAAAACACTTTCATCTTCCCCCAAATTCGGAGGAAGAAGAAGAAGAACAAAGAAGAGGAAGGAAGAAGGAGAAGGAGGAAGAAAAAAAAAAAAAAAAACTGAATCTGGGCAGATTCGGAGGAAGAAGAAGAAGAAGAAGAAGAGAAAAAAAAAAAAAAAGCTTCCCCAGATTCGGGAAGAAGAAGGAGAATGAGAAGGAAGAAGAAGGAAGAAGGGGAAGAAAGGGAAGGAAGTAGGAAGGAAGTAGGAAGGAGAAGGAAGAAGAAAAAAAAAAAAAAAAAAGAAAGTTACAGTCGGAAGAAGAAGAAGAAGAAGAAGGAAGAAGGAAGAAGAAAAGAAAAGAAAAGAAAAAAAAAACGTGGATGACACGTGGCGCCCAGTCATCACAGTTAACGAAAAACTTAACAGTTTGACTAACAGATGTATGAGACTGTCCCAAAATTTACACTTTAGGTATGACTCTGAGACGAAAAAAAACATGATGTACTAAATGTTGAAAACCACGAAACATGAGGGTAGTAAACAGTCTTTTACCCTTAAAAAAATACATAATTGTTTATGTTCAGTCCTATTAGATTATGAATGTGATTGTGTAAATCCTAACATATATAGGATGTCCTTATGAGATTCTACCATATCTCTTAGACTAGATATTATCCTATTAGAGTTGTAATCCTATTTGGGTAAAGAATTTACCTTCAATACTACTATAAATAAAAGCACTATTGGGTGGAATAGAACAAACCTCACAATTACACATCTCTCTCTTTCTCTCTACTATTGCCGCACCTCTCTCTCTATGGCCTCCATAATCCTTCAATAAATTTTGTTTACAACATGTTATCATCACGCTCTTGACGTTGCGCTAAAGAGAGTTTGCTTTTCAATTAGGGGAGTATTACGTTTTAATCATTTTTTTTATGATTAATTTATTATTTTATTAAATTGGTCTACATGTTATTGATTCAATTTATTTTTTCTGTGTTGAACGTGATACAACATATTGGAGATGCACTTCCAGATTTCCGAGAAGGATATTCTACAAATTCAAAAGCTTAGTTGTTTTCTACCAATTAGGTTCCTTTATAATAAATTAAGATATTTGAAAAAACCTTGAAGCATAAAAACATTCCTCATGATGCATGAACTCCCTATATTTATATTTTCCTTCCAATTATATATTTTGTCAATATATATATATACTTGTTCATGCAATACACAATTATGCTATGTGGAATTTGTGAGTCAAAGCATCGAAATTAATTTTGAAGCAATTAGGGTTTTCAACCCTAGAATTGAAAAAAATATGGGTTTTTTTTTTTTTGCGTGGCCGGGCCGTGCTGCCACTAGCACCAAGTCGAGTTAGCTGGCTTGCAGCCACGCTACCACCTTGGGACGACATTGTTTGACGTCATGGACCATCACGGCAGCAGCCCTCTTGCTTGCTACATGTGCACGAACATTAGGCCTCGGCCTAGTAGGGTATATTGTGGGCTTGCAATCCCTCCAACCTACTTCAGCACGGCCTGCAGCCTTTGTTGGGCTTTGCTCTGTGCCCTTTGGCCCAAACCAGCAACATTTGAGTTGCTGGGCTCTGTCCCGCATGCCACGGCCCATATGCAGCAAGTTTATTTCGCTTGTTGGGTTCCACCATGCCTCGCCCCACTCACCTGCAACCTCTGTGTTGCTGGGCTTGCTTTTCCATGGCCCAAATCGAAGCCAGCCCTCGTGCTAGGCCCATGACCCCCCCCCCAACACTATTTTAACCTAAAAAACTAGCAGCTTGGGCTGCGAGGTTCCTTCCCATATCTCTGCCCATGGCCTGTAGCCATACATGGGCTGCCTTGGCAGCCTACCTCGAGGCCCACTAAGCCCTTCAAGGCCTTGCCTTGCACACGACACCAGCCCACCGAATTGGGCTGCATTTTTTTCGAACCCAATGCCCTGTTTTTTGGCATTCCCGCTTCATAACCATACTTCTATAATTTTTGGGATGTTATTGGTTAACGCTTATCAAGCTATGATTTTATTATCGCTTGGCTCGAAGCAAAAAATTTCAAGCTAATATTAACTCGAACGTTATTATTTTGCTTTTACGATCAAATATGGATGGTTACGATCTATTGAATTAATTAAATTGACTAGCAGTCCATTAATCTGATAGTTAATCCAAAATTATTGGCCTGAAGTCCATTTTTTGGCAACTAACGATTCAATAAATTATTTCTTTTCTTTGAACCGTTCGCTCACTTTCGTAGTCCCGAAGCACTCACACTTGAGTTCCTGAAGCAATTCAAATCCACTACACTTAAATCAGCATATTGTATTATGTGTTCTTACATGAACCTCTCTTTTATGAACTAAATGTTCATAAACTAAATTGAACCTGGAGTTTCAAATTTAGTGCCTTTGAAACCCAAAGTTAAACAATACACCCATGAAAACCCGACGTTTTTCATGAAAACCATGTCTTAGAACTTGAATGTTCTAACTTTGATGCTTATGGATGATTCATTCCCATAGCACCAATCACAATCTTGTTTCCTCCAATTTAGTGGATTGTCGAACCGTCACAAGTTCGATTTTCCTTATTTGGATGTTTCTAATAGAAACCACTTTAAGTGGGGTACAAGACGTGAATCTCCACTTGATTATCAAGAAGCTAAGAAACCATTGAAGCCAACAATGGCATGGAATAGTTGAATAAGCATCTGCCATAATCTTTATTCGAATACCTATGCTTGAAGCATTACAAACGGAAATACCTCTTGAACGAGGATTCCATGGCTCTTTAGTTTGCTCCTACGGACCGTCTGATTATGTGAGACATTGCCTGAAGCACACCATGATTATGTTCATGAATGGGAACAATTCTGAAGTGTATAACTCCGATCGAATTTTGACTGGAGAATACTTTTCTTGTCCTTCCATGTTTCTAACTAGCCCTAAAACAGCAATGTAGAAAGCGGAAGTTTACCAAATTCTCAGATCAGATTACTACCACAACGTGAGAGAACAATATAGACTTAGTTCGACTAGAGTTTACCGAACGATATATACTTAGTTCGGCTGGAGTCCACCGAATGGATCGACCCAGTTCGGTCAAGGCCTACCAAATGGTGATGCCCTACTTCGGTAGTTGTTCAGTGTTGCTTGAAAGTTTCCTGTTATTAGAGGTAGAAGGGACTTACTGCGGCCTCCCAACAATCACGGGATCACCATCAAGAAGAGAAGGGCTCCCTACGCAAATGGATGCTTCAAAGGTAAGTGGCAGACCACCAATTCGACTTGGTTGACATTTTTCCCCTCTAAATCAAACCAAACAAGCGCTTCATCGTCTTTCTTCAAAAGAACCATTGCACCGTTCTTTGAGAACCCCAAAGGTCTGCAATATTCAAACAACTAAGGCATATTGTCCTGCCCAATAGAATAAAGCAGGGTCCAAGATTCTACCACTCCATATTCCTTCATAATCCAAACGTAATGTCTACACCACCAATCATCTACAGGAATACATAGAGACCCACCTAAAACCTCCAAATCGATCACACAAGTGCCATTCTCATGCACTGGGGTGTCAAACTCCTGATACTTCTCACTGGCAAGATCAAGAGTTAGAATTATGCATTGATTGTTATCTAATTTGCCTCGCATCAACCAACTCAAAGCACCGTTCCAAAACACAATCTCACTATTATGCATAGCAAAACCATTGCAAGGCAAGTTTTGGATCCTTTTCCATGAGTTGGATTTTAGGCTATAAACACTGACTTCACAACTCACAGA